ATGGAGGGGAGAGTGGTACTTGTACACGGCGAGTAGGTCCGAGACGAAGATACACGTCTTCTTGCGGCTGTCCTCCTCGCCCTCATGCCAATCCACAGATCTGCCACACACCCACACCCACACACACAAATGGATGTCTCTCTCTGAGGGCGTGTGAGGTGTAAGTGTTGGGGGGGGGGGGAAGGGCAGAAAGGCACCTGCTCTCCTTCCACTCTCGGCCCTGTGCGATCTCGCCGCCCATGAAGATCAGAGGGCGGCCCGGCACACCGACCTGGAAGCCGTATAGCGTCCTGATCAATCAATCGGCACACACACACAGACGCACTTGGGGTGCTGTTTGTTTGTTTGTGTGGATGTGTGTGTTGGTGCACCACCTGAGTGTCTTGAGTCGTTCCTCGAAGGGCGTTCCCTGGAAGCCGCACTTGTCGAGGAGCGAGCCTTTGCCGCTCACAACCTCGTCATGACTCAAGGGCAGAACCCACCTGCACACACACACACACATTATCACACACATCACGTGCAGCCAGGCGTCCGTGTGCTCTCTTCCCCCCCTCCCTCTCTCTCTCTCTCTCTGTGTGTGTGTGTGTGCGCGTGTGCGCCCATATGGTTACTTACTTTTCGTGTGCGACGTAGAGTCCTCTGAAGGTGAGTTTGGAGTGTGCCCCTCCCCGCATTGGCCCGGGGGTGGTGAGGTACTCGAGCGTGTCGTTCATCCAACCCAGATCCCACTTGGCGTCGAAACCCAGCCCTACACACACACCCCCACACGAACGGCACACAGAGAGAGAGAGATGGATGCGAGGGCATTGTGTCTCTCTCTCCCTCTCTCTCTCTCTCCCTCGCTGTGTGTGTGTGTGAGTGTGTACCCACCTGTGTCTTGGTTGGTGACTCCCTGCCATGAGGTTGACTCCTCCGCCATGGTGAAGACCCCGGGGAACTCCTTGTGCACCACCCAGTTCATCTCCTGCAGCAAACTGATGGCCTGCAGGTTGGCGTCGCCACCGTGTTCGTTGGCAATCCACTGGCCGGGGCCCCTCATGTGGTTCTTGTACAGCATCGAGGACACGGCGTCGATGCGCAGCCCGTCGATGTGGTAGCGCCGCAGCCTGCACACACGCACCGCGACGCACGCACAGATAGATACCTCCTCTCTGTGGTCTGGTCTGGCCTGGTCTGTGTGTGGAGGGAGAGATGGGCGGGGCGGGGTGGCTTGGGGTGGGTGTGCATCCATCCATCGATCGCACCAGTGGTATGCGGCCCCGAGGAGGAATGAGCGCACCTCAGACCGACGGAAGTTGAACACTGAACTCAGTCAGATCACAGACAATGAATGAGTGAGTGAGACAGAGAGGGACGGAGGGAGGGAGGGAGGGTGTCTGTCTGTCTGCCTGTGGATGGGGTGTGGACCGACGTACCCATTGTGCCCCACTCGAGGTGCTCGCCCTCCTTGGGGTCGGCATACTCGTACAGAGGCACTCCGTCGTAGTAGACCAAACCCCAGTCATCCTATCAACCACACACACACACACACACATGGTAGGCTGGCATCTCTCCCTCCCTCCCTCCTTCTGTGGTGTGTGCGTCTGAGGTCACCCACCTTGACGAAGTGTCCCGGCACGAAGTCGAGGAAAACGCCGATGCCCTCCTTGTGCAGCTCGTTGATGAGGTACTTGAGGTCATCGGGGTTGCCCAGACGAGAGTACGGCGCATACAGACCCACCGTCTGATAACCCCAGGAACCTTCACACAACACACGCAGAGGGAGAGAGATGCCAACACGTTCGTACCAGCACCTCTCTGTTTTGCCAAGAACAGACCAGACTGACCTTCGAAGGGGTGTTGAGCCAGCGGCATGAACTCTATGTGTGTGAAGTTGCAGGCCTTGACGTGGTTGACCAGCCGGTGGGCCACCTCCCTGTAGCCGAGGTAGCTGTTGTTGTCGCCCCTCATCCAGGAGGGCAGGTGCACCTCGTAGATGCTCATCGGCCGCCGGCGGATGACGTCCATCTTGCCGTCCTCCCGACGCGCCCGCATCCACTCTTGATCAGTCCACTTGAACCGGTCGGCAGGCTGCACACACCACACCACACACATGGGTGGGTGTGTTGGGGGGTGTGGGGGGATGGGAGGCTGTTGTTACCTTCTTGTAGGCGTCGTCGCACCCGGAGACGATGGACGCGTAGGCAGGGGGGTTCTCGAACTCCTTCATGCACGCAAGCCGTTCCGTTCCACACACAGATGCACACAACACACACACCCTCTCACTCGTGTGTCCTACCTACCTGTGCGTATGGGTCGATCTTGACGAAGTCCATTCCGTTCTGTCCGTGGATGCGGTAGCCGTACTTCATGCCGGGGGCCACGTCGGCGATGAACAGCTCCCACACGCCGTAGTCGTGACGCTTGCGCATCGGGTGAGCACGCCTGCATTGCATGCCATCAATCCACCACATCACAGCCAGGTCATTCTCATCTCATCGGTGGGGAGCTTAGCTTACCCGTCCCACTGGTTCCAGTCGCCGACCACCGACACAAACACAGCATTTGGGGCCCACACAGCAAAACTGACACACACCGTCCACACACACACACACACACACGGATGGTGCATCACCATGATGGTGTGTGTGTGTTGCCTCTCGGCTCACACCCACCTACCCACACCCACACACACAGAGAGACTTACCGGACCCCCTTAGCGGCATCGACCTCGACGACGTGTCCGCCGAGGAGGCAGTCGACGTGCCAGCACGAGCCGCTCCGGAAGAGGTTGAGGTCGAAGTCGGGCAGCAGACAGCCGAAGCTGTAGGCGTCACGCTTCACGAACTCCGTGTTGCTGCCGTCACCTGCACCCAACACAGAGAGAGGGAGAGAGAGTGCGGGTGGGTTAAGGGGAAGGGGAGGGGGCTGTGGTGGGTGGGGTGTGATGCTGACCCTCGTATCTGACGATGAGCTCGTAGAGGAAGGGGGGCAGGTCGTGGGAGTCCTTGGTGGGCAGCGGCTTGCCCTCGGCCGCTCGCACCACCTGACACACACACACCACACACCACACACCACACACCACCAGATCCCATCCCCATCGCTCTCGCTGTCTTGCGTGTCTGTGTGTGGTTGCGGTGGGCAGGGTTAGTTAGGTTAGCTACCTTGAAGACCATCTGGAACATCCATTCGCCCTTTCTATGCAGCCACACGGGCTCGTTGTCATTGACCAGCTGATACGCACTCCCAGGTACGCAGCGAAGACGGGCGTCGCGCGCATCCTTTATCCACGCCCTGCACCCATTATAACCACACATAGAGATGATCCACTGCACTGTGCACTGCACTGCGCACGCCATGCATCCCTCATTCACTCACTCCCCCTGTGTGTGGTGGCGTCAACGCACCTGACGAGAAAGTACTTTGCGCCATCGCCATGGTCATACGGATGGCATCCGAGCACCCCAAAGGGGTCCTGGTGGTGCGCCTTGTGCAGCAGATGCAAGTCATGGTCGCTGATGTGCGCACCCCCAGGCACCTGCACACACACAGAGAGGGAGGGTGTGGTGTGGGTCGGCCGTCGGCGAAAGGGGGTCTCGCTTGGCCTGGCCCCAACTGATTCATTGATTCATTCATTCATCGCACCGAGTCCAGTGTTTCCACGAAGTAGCTTGGCTCCCCCGGGACGAACTCGGGGTAGGTGACGGGAGCGGCGTCGAGCTCGTTGCTGCCCTCCGCCTCGTGTGGCCCTTCATGACAACATGCAAAGCAGCATTCTTGCTCGCAAGGATGCTGAGGTTTCGGTGTCAGTCAGTGTCGCTTACCTTCCGATGGGGTGTAGCCAGACTTGCACTCGTGGTCGAGGTGCTTCTTGTACTCGGCGCTCCGAACGAGCTCTTGCACCTTCTCACTGTCGGCCTCCTTGATGACGTCAGCCACTGCGGCCGGAACGGTCTGAGGGGTCTGTGTGTCAAGCGGCTTGCTGCCGTTGACCGAGGGGGGGTTGGGTGTGGCGGGGTCGGCAGTCGACATCGCTGCAGCCGCTATGTGATGTGTGTGATGGTGGGAGGGGTGACGATGGGAAGAGGGAGGGGGGGAAGTCAGGCCGCGCCGCGCCCGGGACAGCTCAGGCAAGCAAGCCCTGCCTTCGCCAGATCAGGTCACGCCGCTGCCGTACGCCGCTATCCTCGACCAGAGATGAGATCAGATCAGACGAGGGGGTGGGTGGGCGAGGATAGATGCAGCAGAGCAGTTGTGTGCGGCGCCTTCCGCTTTGCAGGTGAGGTCGCGGGAGCCTTCGCCACGCAAAGATCTGCAGCCAGTATGAGGTTATTTGCTTTCACGGAAGCATTCCTGAGCTCGCAAAATTTGCGAGGCAACATACGGAGGAAATGAAGGGCAAGGCAGCCAAGGCTGCACACGAGAAGAGTAAAGAGGCGAGAGGGACAATGGTCAAGAGAGAAGAGATCAGCAAGAAGAAGGACAGAAAGATCACCACCACACCGCTGACGACAAGGAAACCGCAACCAACAACCAAGGCCAATCCGACCAAGAAGCGGCAACGAGCCAAGAGCCCAGATGCCCCTCTCCCATCATCAGCTGCTGCTGAGGCCGCCCCCTCATCCCTCGGCCCCTCGCCATCGTCAGCAGCAGCCACAGATGGTCGACAAATCGACGCTCTCTTCAGCCGCCTGAAGAGGAAACACAAGTCCGAGCCCACCCAGCAGGCGAAAACAGCCACCACCAGCGGCGGCAACAAAGTGAGAGGGGATAGTTCGGTGGCCAGGAGGGGCCGTCGGCCGAAGCAGCCGTCATCCATCGACGAGGACCTGAGCCTGGCGAACAGGCCGCGGAGGTACACCGAGGAGGGCTGGCCCATCTACACCGAGGAAGAGCTGAGGATAGGTACGCGTGTGTGATGTGCACCACCAGAGAGGCGTGCAGACAGGCAGGCAGGCAGGCCGACAGATGTTGTGTGGCCGATGGATGCATGTGTCATGTCAGGTCAGGGTGGCGGGACGCCCCTGTGTCCATTCGACTGTGACTGCTGCTTCTGACTGACGGCATGAAGAGGGCTGTCGTCACTCCATGCTGTATGGTGTGCGTGGAGGTGATGTGGATAAACGCCACTGTCTTGGCCGTATCGGTGTGTTTTTCGGTGACCCACAAGTGTTGATTGACTGATTGATTCCTTGGATCGTATTGGTCCACCACTAGATCGAGCAGGACCGAGCGGAGGCGGCTACCTATGACAGAGAAGGGCTGGTGTATTGTGCGCGTCACGTGAAGGTGTTTCTCGGTTGATGCATCCTCTGACGTATAAATTGCACTCCATAACACATTGGATCATTCGTCAATCATGCAACGTGCCTGGGTCGAAGCTGATGCATCATGTGCTGTGCACACACAACACGATGCGTCCGCGCCCTCCCTCCCTCCCTCCGCAGTCACTGTACAGTCAAGAACGATCCCCTATCAAACACCCACCCGTGCCGTGCACCCGCCCTGCTCTGCTTCTCTGTGTCTGTCTGTCTGTCAGGTGGTGGGCACCGTGCACACACGCACACGTGCAGGCGGCGAATGGACACACCAAATGCGTGCGTCCATCTCTCGCTTGCACCATCCCATCCCATAAATTAGCCTGTCATCCGCTCGAGATCTACTTAGTACTTTGTTGGTCTGCCTGCAAGGCAGGAGCCGTGGACGAACCCACACTGGTAAGGGATCAAACGGACACGCTTCGAGGCGTCCACTTGACACCTCGACACTGTGAGTCCGAGCACGGCACCCACTTGATGCAGTGCAGGAATCCACCCATCACTGTAGCATGTATATCCTTGAGGCGATGTCCTTGACGAGCCAGTCCATGCCGGCCAGCAGCCCGCCCACCTCCTCAGCCAACAACGCACTGCACGGATACAATGACCAGGAACGGTTGGCCAAAGACTCCAAACCCAACACCTGACATACACGTACACGGATGGCGGATGGATGGATGCTGGTGCTTTATGGTCAGTTGGGCTTGCCTCTGTGATTTGTTGCGCAGAGAGGGCGCCGGGGAGGTCCTGTTTGTTGGCGAATATCAACAAAGTGGCGCCAGCCAACCTCTGAATGGACACCCACATCCATCCCACGCACAGATGCATCCCGTGTGGCCATGGGTCTTTCCCTCTCTCCGTCAGCGACCTGTTCTTTGAGCAGCGCGTGTAGTTCGTGTCTAGTGTCGTTGAGCCTGTGTATGTCTGCCGAGTCCACCACCCACACCAGCCCGTCAGTCTGCTCGAAGTAGTTGCGCCAGTAGCTGCGGAGGCTCTTCTGCCCACCAACGTCCCACACGTGAAGCCGATACCTACACACACACAGATGAGATGAGAGAGATGGACACGTGCATGTGTGGCCATCTTGCCGTCATGCTCACCCATTGTGGGTGAGAGTGGTGATGTTGAACCCGACAGTGGGCGAGATGGTGGAAACGTCCTCGCCGTTCAGCTGCTTCACTATGGTCGTCTTCCCGGCGTTGTCCAAACCCCTGCACCCACGGCAAAGCGCAACAGACACGGCGTCATTGTGTGCATGAATGCTCTTCATTCACTTACAGCACGAGTATGCGCATCTCTTTCTCGCGCTGCTTGATCTTCCGCAGCACCTTTAGCAACACCATCCTTCTTCCCCTGCGTCTTTTGGTTGGTTGGTTGGTTAAGGGTTTGACGAGACACCTGTCCCTAAGCCCGGCGCTACCTTCCGGCGCAACCAGGCATCTTCTCTGTCCACAGCACACACCAAACAGGCAACAGGCACATGCAGAATGCATGCACAAGGCCTATCTGCCCTTCCCATGGAGCAGTGGGTGCTAGTCTGACAAGTCAGCGTCAAGCACCCACTGCTCCATCTCATGCAACTCATATATGAAGTCATACTCACCATCAAACTGACTGGGTGGGAGAGAT